GAACTGAATTTATTTAGTATGGAATAGTGGAGGGATCTGCCTGCTTTCTTCTACCACCTTAATGGGATTATAGAGAAAATGAACCCAGATGTTTTTCAGAGGCGCACAGTGAAAGGGCCAGAGTCAGTTGTCACAAGTTGCAGCTAAGGAAATTCCAGTTGTACATGAAGAAGACTGTCAACCATGAGAGCACCTGTGTTGGAACAGGTTGCTTAGAGGATTTATGGAGTCTCCCAGCATTGTAGATATATAAAACTTGGCCAGGTCCAAAGCAACATACAGTCCAGCTTTGAAGTTAACCCTGCTGTGAGCAGGAGGTTGAACTGGGTGACCTTCAGAGGTTCCTTCAGGCCTAAGTTTTTGTTTGAGTCTCTGATAGTCACTGAGAACAGTAACTCCCCCACAAATAAATGGTCTGGATGAAGAAAGCTCTTACTATCTTCTGTTTCACAGGTGTAGCTGTTGGGGGCAGAAATCAGCAAAATAGCTTGCTAATGTGTACAGCACCCCTTTCTCGGGGAGGAGTTTTTTGGGGGGTATTAATAAGCAAGTTGAAAAAGCAAGTGGATGATATATTTGGCATTGATGGTCAACTGGCAGGGTTAGCTGGTGATAGGTCTGCCTCCATAGTCAAGGCAATAAACCATTTTTGTAATGAATGAGATTTAGTAAAAATAAAAGAGCAATTGGAAGCAGTACGTAGAGTATGAGTAAGATTGCATTGGCCAAATGTCTTAAGTTTGTCTGAACCTTCTGTTGCAAGAAGCAGCTGAGAAGTACTATGCTTTGACCCCTTTTCAGAAGCAAGGTTAAAGATATGAGTAATACTCTGGGAACAAATGGAGTACAACATATTTTCTTTCCTCCACCTTCCCAGTATGTCAGTCTTGGCAGTGGTGTTTTTTCTGTCATGTTACCTAACATAAGCAATAAATCCAGCTCTCTAATAGCAATCCAGATTGTATCAGTAGATTACCACTGCTTTATTTCCAATCCTTGAAAGCTATGGCCTAACTGCTTATCCCATCTACTTTCTGTCTTTTAATTGATCTGGATTGATCTGAACTAGTCAATGTTGAAAACTTGGTGGAAAAATAGTAGTATTCCTTTTTCTCTTCTTTTGGCACTGTTTTTAGTGGTAATATGTATAAAGAAAACAGAAGTTAAGTTCATACAGATAAACTATCTAATGTGACGTTTTCTATCTTCTCCCTCAGTGCACTCTACATCCGTATCCCTTTCTATAATGACCTGTTCAGTGGCTTCTGTCATTGATCTTCTCGATCATCCCCTACTCGGGGGGTGTCTGAGTCTCCTTTCCTTCCCCCAAAATCAGCGTATTTTATGATTACAGAAAAAGAGCAAAACTTGTCAAAACTAGGGATGTTTCCGCTCAGATACATTTGTTCTTTCTGATGATGTTCCCCTACCTCTTGCCATCAAAACTGAAAATGAGTGTGTGTGTGACTTCTGGTTATCCTATTTCCTGAGAACAAACACAGTAGATCATAAAATCCTTCCATAAAGCTGTTGTCCGTTGTGTAAAAGCCTACACAACCACTTCATCATATTTTGGACTCTTTATCTCTTCTCAAATTGTCATCTTGAGAATTTTAGTGCTGATGGTTAATCAGCTTATTTGTGTTCTGTTTTATTTTCAGTATTTTTGGGTTTGTTTGTGTTTTTTAAGATTGGGTTACTGATAGAAACCCCTCTTCCATGCAGTGTAGCAGAATGGGTAGACAGCAGAGGATAATTGACATTTGAATTGCTAATTTACACCTCTTAGAAATCAGCTGCACTGTAAAGAGGTGTCTTTAGATCAGAAGAAAGCTGTGGTCAGATGACCTGGTCGGGAGATACAGAACATTATTTCTTCTAATTACCCTCTTTAAAACATTAAAGAACTTTCTCACTGCTGTCTGTATTTGCCCTTTGCACCGCACCCCCGGACTACCGGTACAACTGCATATGTAGTTGCTTTTGGTCTCCTGTCAAAATCATGTGGATTTAAGTTGATAAGAACAGGTTAGAAAATTACTATACCTGCAATTTTGCAAGGAGGTTTTGAGGGTAGTAACCTGGGCAGGAGGAGGAATGGGAAATGTTAGGAGCCACAGGGGTCTGTAACATCTTCTATGTGGCTCAGTTAGTCAAAAGCTTATCTGACTGTAGGCTGTATGTCCACCTGGGGAAACTCATAGAGGCTAGGTTTTGCTCTTCCAGTTCGCAGTCTATATGCAATTCATGTCTTTTCTGTATGAGTGAGCCATTAGACATTAAAAATGCCTTTTTTGTTGTTTTGAGCACATTGTGAGTGTGCTTAATCTAGAAAGCAGGTTTTCTAGGTCAACGAATTATTCTGAGAATAAGCATCAGGTTTAATTATGATCTGCTTAGTCCTGTACTGTGCAGAGTCTGTAGCAACCTCTTATCTCTTGTGGTATCTGTGCCAGTGTTTTTTTCATGTTATAGCAGGTCTTCTCTTCAAATTGGAGGTAGAAAGATTTAGTAGCTATTATCTACACTAGACTACAGCTCTTAAGTCTGACTCTATGCCAAGTCTTATGCCAAGATCTAGACCTATGCAGGGATTTGAGGTCCTAACTTCCCTCAAACTTCAGTACCAGCTGTAAGCATAAACGTTCCTAACGAAATTCAAATTCAATTTGTGTTCTCTTACATCCAGAAGAACTGTCAAAGTGACAGTGTTACAAATGTGCTCAGCTTGGTACAGGTCTTGCTTACAGTCAGTCTTTGATATGTGCTTATTCTGAAGGAAGCTATGCAATATTGCCTATCCACAGCATATAAGTTACATCTGTGAGCAGTAAAGCTTGGTCTGTTAATCTCACAGATGTTTCTCCAATAAGGGAGAAAAAATACTTAAAATATTTTGATCACTGATGGTCCAATGGTCAAATAGAGACAGGACAGCTCCATTAGAGGGGAAAAACCTATAAAGAAATTGTCTAATATTTTAAACAGATTATCAAAGTTGTTTTATTTTTTTTCTCTGCTAGATCCTGAAGCCTGCTTTAATTTGGAGGCTTTTAGCCTTGAAGTCAAGTCATCTTTGCTCTTACCCTGAACTGTACAACACTGCTTCCTTACTAATCCTTCCTTGTGTATTGCAGAAGGAAATTTTAGTGCTCACCTCAAAGGAATGTGCAGTTGGCATGTCTATAGGGTATCTGTGTTCTATTCCTTGAGCTGTTGTGAGATGCCGTTACTGTAGTCCATAGCTCCAAATTAGTGTAAGGAGTTCTTGCCTCTTTTGGACATAACAACAGCTAGTAGAGTCAGTAATTAAAAAAAAAAAAAAAAAAATTTCCTCACTACTTTGTTTCTTAACGGCGAGGGAAATTTATTCCGTTCCCAATTCTGTCTTTCTATACCAAAATAGCCATGTGGATGAGCTAAAATACAGGGATTTCTCTCCCTTTGTCCACTCAAGCTCTGCTTTTTAAAGGTCCAGTGGAATACCTAGTTTGGCAGTTGTGATCCAGCTTTGATTATCACTTGCTATTGTCCAACAGATAGGATAGAATTATAAGCTTCCTTCTAACTGATTTTCTTTTGAACTGTTGTCTGTATGTTGCAGGTGAAACCACTTCTGCCAGCTATAACACTGCCTGAGCAGTAAATGAAACTACTGTGTATGTCTAATGCTGTGAGGATTTGTAATCTGTGTTTTTTCCAGTACAAATGTAAGTTGCGAGTGTATCAGTATGCAGCTTGCCACTAGCTGCGTGAAATTCTAGTTTACACAGAGAGTTTCCTTTCCTGGAAAAATCCTTCGAATGAGCAGTATAGGGACAAAGGAAAAAGTCTTTGGGCTGTTAAACCGTATAGTCTCGGGCTTGAAAGGAAAAACGTTTCTATTTGCTATGAAGCCCTTCTCCAGACCTTTCACAACAGTGACACTGGGATTCCAGTGCGAGGAGCTGAGCACCATCCAGAGAAATAAAAGGAAATCTGCCAGTTTCCACTGCAGTTTGTTTATTTAACAGCTGTGTGCCTGCAGGAAAGTAATGGATTTGTGAGTTCATGTTTTCCAGCAAACTCCTGTCTTGGGGACTGGGGGGAAGATTGATTTGCACTCTTTCCAGAAGAGTCTTTGCCCCACAAGTATGGTTTTGTCCAGTGCCTAGTGCAGTTTTCTTGTATACTATTTGTAGTCCTCTGTGCTGTGTAATAGCGATTCCGTGTTCACTCATGCAGTTCTTAATTGTTAGAAAAGTACAGAATTAAACAAGCAAGCATCTCTTTCTTTTTAAGGCGCTGTTAGCTTCTGAATGATTTTGCACTTTTAAAGAGGGGAAAAAAGGTATAAAGACTGTGCAAACTGCATGAAGAGCTTGTCTAAAGACCAAATGTAAATACGCAAACCAGTCTTTTAAGCTGGTGTATTCCAAGTAATTATGGTCTCCTGAATTGATGTGGTTTTGCAGTAATGGAGATGATTATTCCAAAAAGGATTTAGACATAGCTGTAGGATACTTTATATAAATAAAGATATTTAAAGCACTTTATAAACCACTGAGATATTTTAAGACAATAAAGAAAATCGCACCTCCAGTAGAAAATATTTACTTTTGTACCAATTAGACTGCCTGTGGTAGACCAGATGAAGTCACTGCACAAAGCAGTAGTAAAGAGAATCCAGCGGAGAACTTCTTAGCCCTGTCATGATGATCGTGAGGGAATAAACATCCTTGCCATACAAGCTCCTGTAGTATGAAAAAGGCTTTTGAATTTTTCTCAGGATGGGGAGAAGAAATTGTGCCTTGGAGAGTAGTTCAAAGATATAATTTCATTGAAATTAGGAAGGAAAGCAGGTATTTCTCAATTTCAGTATTGAAGATTATGTGAAAAAAGATAATTACTATTATAAGGTTTGAAACTTCTTTGTCACAGTTTAAAAGGAGTGTATGTTTTGCTAAACAGCATGACTGATTAGAACCTGGGAAGCTAAAGTAAGACTCTGTCTGTAATAGGTACTTCGAGTGACTTCAAGTATGGGCTGCTGCCGGGTGCTTCGAGTGACTTCAAGTACGGGCTGCTGCCAGAGTCTTGGCCAAAAATGGGCGTCTGCGGAGTCATTCGAGTGACTTCAAGTATGGGCTGCTGCCGGGTGCTTCGAGTGACTTCAAGTACGGGCTGCTGCCAGAGTCTTGGCCAAAAGAAGCTTGGGAAAATGGCAAGTATATCTGATGGAGAAGAGGTTGTTTTTTTTCCTCTGATAGGCGTTCTTTGTCTTCTGTGTCACTGCTGGTAATAGTTGGTTAATTTGTTTAGAGATTTATAAGATTAAGGGTTTGCATAATCTTCTTCCACATCATTTGCCTTTCTGGGTAGTGTAAATAGGAGGACTTCCTTGGAGGGGGAGAAAGGAATTAAAATGTATGGAAAAGTAAAAGCAGAACATGGTTTATATCAGCTCTTGCACTGTGCCTGAGTATGAACTTATCCGAAGTCTTTAATGATCTGATAGCTTTCCCCCTACTCCTTACTAAGCTAACTGCAGATAAATGGGCTTTGGAATTGAACACTTGAATGATGAAGATACAAAGTTAAATATAATCTTAAAAGTAGATCTCAGAGCGTACTTCTCGCTAGCAAAAATAAAGAACTTCATTGCAATAAAGGTTTTGCATTCAATGCAGCCAGAACTAAAGCCCTCTTCAGTCAAACCTGTGTTCTGTAACCTGCCCTTTCACAGCTTATGTGCCTTTCTGAATAATTCAAGCAAGCCATTATCTGTAATTATTTTTCTGTCTGGAAATATACCAAAAAACCCACAACATCCAAAATAATTATTGCTAGATCCTTAAAATACATCAAGTCTTCAGTAAAAAGAGGATCTTGAGGGCTCAGTAATAGTAATGCCTACCTCTTCTCTGTAACTTTGAACTATTACTGGGATGTGGTTTATGGTTTACTTTAAAGATTTTGGTTTTTACAGTTGAAGAAATCAGGTCATCAGGTGAAATTCACTAGCAGGCAAGGGATTAGAGCTCTGGTCTTAGAGGAGGTCTGCCTGTCTGTCATACCCCTGTTGAGGTGTATGAGACTCCAGTTTAGAACCTTTTTTGAAGTTACTTTTCTTCATGTAAGCCATTATGTGACATTACGTTGACATGCAGCTTTCATGAGTGCTCCGATACATGAAGGCAAACTTTTGAATATGAGCAAAGCTTAACTTCCATGTTGTGGATTTTGGAGCTGGGAGAAGGCATCTTAGATACAGGCCTGCAGGCCCATGCCACACTTACTTCTGCTTTCTTCCTGCCAGCATGAACATTAGAAACTTATGCATATAATCAGGTAGCGTTAGCCAGTGCTTGTTGGATGCTTCTAGATGGTTATGATCATGTTCATAAATTACCTCATCTGTAGTAAGTTGAGTCAGTCGCCTGTTCTCAAGACAATCCTTGTGTTCTTGCGCGGCGTTCTTCATAGCTGTGACAGCATTCTGTGCTTTTCTGTTTCATGCAGTAACAGGCACCTGTAGTAAACCTGTTTTGCACATATCCTTTGAGGAAGCTGTTTTATCCTTGGTCCAAGAATATGTAAATAGCTCTCTTCTATTATAAGGAAGAAGTGGGATATTTCTACTCCCAGAACTTTTTTCTGCTCTGTTGGGGTTTTTTTTGGTGTGGTGGTGTTTTTTGTTGTTGTTGTTGGTTTTTTTGTTTTGTTTTTTTGTTTTTTTTTGTTGTTGTTTTTTGGTTTTTGGGTTTTTTTTGTATTGTTTAGACCAAAATAGACTTTGGGTAGAGAATAGCTAAGATCTAAACCAGTAACTTCCCTTTTTAGCTATTTCAGAATTATGCTGCCTCTTACCGACCTGCTTCTTTTGTCAATATTCCTTCTTGCTGAGTTACGCTTTTTTATTTATTTGTAGAGTCAGATCTTGGCAGGCAGTTCCTGCACATAATTCTAAATAGAATATTGGGAGAGAAGATTGTAACTAAGTGCTGCAGTGCTAGAGCAGTTCTAATCCAGAATGAAGTGTTTTCTGGTCTAGGTGACCTCTAGAAAACTGCGTACTGCTAACTTACTCTGACTGATGAAATAAGACTTCTTTTCAAAGAATTGACCTGTACTTCTGTAGCAAAAATTCCTTGGTTACAAGCAGGTATTTTTCTAGCAAGATCATACACGCAGAACCTACTGGTACTTGTGGTTTCTGCAGGCAGGCGCTGTCCTGATTTGGCTGATGAAAAGTCATGTGGGTGCTTTATTGTTTTGGCACCTGTTTATTTTTGTGCACCAGGCAGAAATATTTTTTTTGTGTTTCATCATCTTTTTTCCTGATGGCTTATTATCTTGTAGGCGATTCCTCTGCTTTAATCATGAACAAGTTGAAGTGTCCGCACTGTAATTATGTAGCCAAATACAGAAGAACACTAAAGAGACACTTGCTCATTCACACAGGCGTGAGATCTTTCAGTTGTGACATCTGTGGGAAGCTGTTTACTCGAAGAGAGCATGTAAAGAGACATTCCTTGGTAGGTAACCTCAAGTGTGTGTGTGTATGGACGCACGTGTATGAGTGGGTTTTTATGTTTGTTTCAGATATTTTGGTAGTTGGGAGAAACACTGTGCTCTGATTTGCCATAATGTAAATTGTTTTATCTTAGTCTAAAACGGATGAAGATAAACATCTCTTTGTGATAACTATACCTCTTATGTTCTTAATGGGAAATGCAGTATCAATTAAGACAGTCGCTGGAATTCTGATAGAGATAATTTCAAGATGATTTTGAAAGTGACGTGACAGAGATGCAGTATATGTAAGTATTCTGTAGATAATGAAAGGGAATTTTGGCTTCGTGTTACTGCAATAGAATAGCACATCTTGTTCTGTAATGCTGCATCACCATTTTCTGTGAGGACACCCTTTTAATCAGGAATTGCACAATATCTTGGGGTAGTTCTGAAATACTTATTTCACAATTACACAAAGTGATAGTATAGTATCTGCTTTAAGATTGAGGAAAGAATGAAAAATATCTGAGAAGCAGAAAGAAAATCTCCTTCTGACTTGCATTCTACCAATACCATAATCAGCAGTTGAGCTTACCCTGTCCTGTGCATGTTGCATAACTCAGGATTTGACTTTGAGTACTGTTTATCTGAGGATCCAGAGAAAGTATTACCTGTCTTGGGTATTTTGCAGGTCCTTTGTATCTAGTCTGTAAGGAAATTTAAACTTTGCAACCAAAATCTGTAAGACTTCTTCAATATAATATTTACTGTATAAAATCCAAGGTGTGTTTTAGGGGAATAGTAAAAGCAAGATCATGTTGGTGGTGGGAAGGTAATAACGCTTCTGAAGCTGTCATTTTTAAAAAACTCATTTTGCACCACATTTTGCAGATACCTAAAACAGTACTCTGTTTCAGTAGCTTTCCTCAGTCCTTTGAGAGTCAATGGACCACCTTGCTCCCTCATGAAGGTGTTCCGTAAGTCTCTGTAACCTCCTCACAGTTGGCTTTTTGTTCCTCAGTGAGTAGAAGAAGTGATTGTGAGCTTTTGAGTTTTAATGCAGATGCAGAAAAGAGCTTTTGGTGTAAGTCTTTCCTAACTTTCCTTTTTAGCTTGTGCTATCAGGAAAAGGACTTTCTGTTAGCCAGTAATATTATTAAAAGTAAATAATAACCTTAGTCATATCAGGATGTAATTCTAGAAGATACTTGTAAGACCACTGTAGTAATTTTAAGTATTCCTTAAACTACTCTTACAAGTAGGAAAGGCATGTGTTAATAGCTCCTATGTAAATTCTAGAACCAGCATCTTTCTTAAGTTCCACTGGACTTCTTTCATCTTAGATACACAGCTTTCCACCGTGCTACTGCTGCCTTTCTTCCTCCTCCCGTACAACCTGGTGAAGGCTTAGGTGCCTGAAGGGACAGGAGTACCTATGATGTTACTGAGGCTGAACGTACATTTTGTTCTGTAGTGTATGTAGGTGACCGCAGCGATGGAGGTGGTGGTGGTGCGGGGCAGCTCTGGGTGGAGGAGGCTAGGTCATTACCACCTAACACCTTCCAGCAGCTACTCTCCTTCTTCCTTTGTGGCTCACCAGAGAAGATGGCAACAGTGGGTGGTAGTCAGTCTACCAGGAAGAGTATAGAGTGGGACTTCAGGTTTTTGTCCTGCAGTAGCTGGCCAGGTCTTGTAGCTGAAGATCCTTTTCCTCCAGGAGAGGACATGAAGCAAGACAGTGTGAAAACAGCTATAGGGTGAGCTCAGACCAGCCCTGTGCTTGACTGAAGTGTGCTCTCCCTGCTGGAGTCAGAACACTTGTTCGTTGTTTTGTGCTCCCCCTCCATTCAGTGAACATCACAAACATTCTGCCTTGTGGGAAGCATTATGATAACAAGTCTAAAGGCTGAGGGAAAAAAACATGTAGTATCAGCTGTACAGATTATACAGTGAGACTAAGTATTTGTATCTTGGCCTTGGTTTTTCCCCTCATCTGAGTGGTAGTTTGTTTTGTCTAAAGCAGCAGCTTTTTCAGTGTGACCTCAAATGAGGCACTTAAGCGCATAGTCGTAATCTGTTGTAGGAACACCAGACAGAAGAAAGAAGTGTTGAACTTAATTTTTTTCCAAGACAACAGCTATTGTACATGGTAGCTGAATTCAGTTACTTGTACAAGTACTATACTCCAAAATTCAAAGTTTAAAATGTACGTTTAGTCAAGTTAGTCAACAGCAGCCTTCTAATTTTACACACAAGCTCACTCTACATACAGGACAAAGGTCACCAAAGGGACCTAGAAAGATGATGATAGGCTTCATGGTGTTGAGAGGGATGTGCCATGGAAGAAGGATCTTGCTTTTTGAATTCACACAGAATTTGATGACTCTTGCTTTTTCTTAATGTTTCTAGGACTTAAAATTGTAAAGGAAATTTTCTAAATGAGATATGATCCTGTGTGCAACAGAAGTACTTGTACTGTTCTTGCTGCCTTTCAGAGCCTTGTTCTGTACAGTGAGTAGCCAGAAAATGAACACTCGCCTGCTTACGGAACAGGCGGCTAT